TTTTCCAGCTGGGCTCGACTAACGGCTCAGCTATAAAAATCTGCCTCTTTATTGATTGCAGAGATTCGAGTATAATTCATTTTGATAACTCGCATTAAATTAATAGAAACTCTTATATTGTTTTAATGTTCGCTTGCCAGAGTTGGGCCATCATTGAGCGCTTTTTAAAGACGTTGTCTCTGCTATGAGGGAAGCTTTAATGTTGCTTCTGCTTATCAAATTTAGATTGTGGTACTGGAAAAAGTAACTACTAATCGATAACTACATGTATTTCAGCAGTGATTTAAGCCATCCGTAACACAGAGTTCTTGAATAATGCAAAAGGATTGACTGGTTTAGCTTCAGTCATAGCTTCAGCTTGTGTAGAGGTACACTCTATAGGTTGGATTCAGATGGGTAACAAAAGAGTATAAGGCAAGTTCGCCGTAAATGTATTAAAGAAGACCCGGCAAAGTACAAAATCTGAGTTAAACATGGACTGAGTGCCTGCAGCTTCAGCTAACTTAGCTAAAATAGGATCTTATTCTATGAGATCTGTCAGCAAAGCCTCGTTTGGGGCTTGCACAGATAAAGCTTTAATCAAAACCCAAAAAGAAAGTTCATTCAATTTGAAAATCGATATACAACAAATTACCGAGGCTTGAGCCCTCAAGTGACTCAGCTCACATCATAATCGATTAATTAGTTATCAGAGCTATCGATGACATTTGCAGCGTTGCCACCCGACAACGATATTAAGTGCATTCGCGAGTCGCTGCTCATTTGCCATTTGCCATTTCCCCTTTGCTCTTTTGCTTTTCACTTTTCACGTTTTTGCTTTTGGTAGCTCTGATGATGCGAGTACTTTTTGTCATTATCTGTCCTAACGACAGGGTAAACCACTTTGCCTCACTGCAAAATGGCTTGGTGCCAGGGGGGCTGGGGATGAATAGTAGATGGTAGGGATGTTAAATGTGAGGGGGGGAGAGGGAGAGTTTCTCTTACTTTTATGCAAATAATGGGGACAATGTGTCATTGCCGCCGCTGACAACTTTGATGAAGCGCCGCGACTGACAGAACCGATGCGGATGATTCTCTAGGTTTGCGTGTGGGTGTTGAGTGTTGGATGCTGGGTGTTCGGCTGGGTCTGTGGTGTGATGGATCTGGCCCGGCCAGGCCAAGCTCAGAGGCTGCTCCCTGACATAAAATGTGTAAAATATTGGCTGTCTACCAAAAAGAGAGTGGATGGAGTTCAACGAAACCTGGGAATTCAATTTATATGCAAATGTTATGCAGGCGACAAGACAAATATCAAATAGTAGCCCACACCCCAAGCACCGGCTAGGCAACCCACAGTGCCACACACATCTAAGTATTTTCATAAAATTTATTAAAAAAATATAGAAAATGTATGTAATTATGCAACATGTGAGACTATATACAGTTCTGTCTCCCACACTCTCTCGCTCCGTCTTTCTCCCTCTCGCTCTCTCTCTCTGTGTCTATGTAAAGTAACGTATGCCCTCTTCGTCGTCGTCGCGCACGTCGTACGCTGTGGGCAGATAGCCGTAGGACTTCACCTCCTCCTTACAGTTGCAGGGCTGTTTGGGTTTCTTAACCACCACCACCTCCTCCTCCTCCTCCTCCTCCTCCTCTTCGGCCTCCTCCTCTTCCGGATACTTCGCCTCGGGCTCGGGCTTATAGCTGGGCTTGGTCGTGTACTCGTAGTACTGATTGTCGCACTCTGTGGTTGGGCGTGGCATCTTCTTGGCCTTTTTATGGGCCTTCTTTTCGATCTTTTCCTCCAGTTTCTCTACGATCTTCTCCTTCTTGGCCTGCTCCTTTTCCTTGAGGGCCTCGAAGATGTCCAGCTGCTTGAGTTTCTTATCTTCGAACCATTCCTTGATCTTCTCCCACTCGTCCGCCTTCTTCTCCTCCTTGGCGGCGAACAGATTGAGGAAATCGAGTTTTTTCAGCGCCTCCTTTTGCTGCTTATCATCCAGCTTCTCGCTCAGGTCCTCCAGCTTGGGCAGCTTCAAGAGCCAAGCGTGCGACAGCTGCAGCGCTGCTGAAACGGAAAAGACCCACTGAAAAACCCAGTGAAAAGCACCTGAATTATCACCTACCCATGGCAGCGATCAAGAGCACCGCCAATTGTTGCCTCGGTGTGTTGGCCATGTTGTTGCTTGGATCAAATTGCTAACGCTTACTCGGCAGCCAGCTGCTTTTAAGGCCAGCCCAAAACACGAGCAACTGCAGCAAAGCTGCGGCCAAGCACGTGCTGCGCTGCAGCTGATAAGCACGTGTGCAGTTATTTTGCTTATGCGTCCAATCACTGCGCCATGTGGCCGCACTCGGCTTATTGATAACTTAAGCTCAGCTGCTCACTCCTGCCACGCCCCCTCACACACACACACACACACACAATGCACTGCAACCCTGTTGTGTTTAGCTGTCAGGTTTGATTAGTCTGCGGCATCAAAATGTGTTTTCCATGTATCTAGCAATAATTTTTTGCGAGCAAAAGTTTTAATGAAGCTGGAGGAAGGGTGGGCCGGAGTAGGGGCAGGGGGAGTACGACAGCTGGAGAGAGCTAAGGTCTAGAGCTAGGGGTAAACTTTAATTGAATGCGTTAGCTGACCTCGCCCAGGGGCGAGCTGCAGCTCGCTAATTGACTTGGCTTGGCAGCGGCTAGAGGTAGTGGCCAATAGTCGAGGGTGTCAGAATCAGAGGGGCGGGGGGCGGGGGCGTGGGTAGTGAGGGCAGTGAGGGCAGGGGGTCAACTAGTGGGCGATGTGTTGATGTGTTGAAAGTGGAAGTTAAATTGTATTTGTTTAGTGCGCGCCGGGCAATTGGAGGCGTGGCAAACGTGCGCCGGCTGCTGCCCGCCTGCAACTCCAACTTCAAGCAAATAGATGCGAATGTGTGTGTGTGTGTGTGTGTGTGCTGGTCGGCATATAGTGCATATATACACATGCATGTTTGTTGTTGGCTTGTTTAGTATGGCTATTTGTGCTGAGCAAACAATTTGCCAAATTAATTGCACACCAAATGCTCTGTGTGCGTGTGTGTGTGTGTGTATATATATAGAAGATATTGTTATTGCTGTCTAAATATAACACTGCATATTGAATGTGCATAGCAAATACTGCGAATTGAGCATTTTTTTGATAGAGCTCGTGTATGCCATGGACTTTTTCGGAGCTATCAAAAGCAAAAGAGTTTTTGGCAAACATAAATATTTATATAAACACATTTTTGTATATTCCTTATATATTTATATATTTATTTATTTTCTTAAAGCTATTGACAAAAATGAGAGTCAATTTTAATTTAAAAAAGCCTATACAAAGTACACGATATAATTTCAATAGTAACACCAACCCGATGGGGGTATTTTATTTGCCAGTCCGGCCGGCTATGCCCACGTCTCACAGCCAAATATGGTCAGTGATACTATTGAAGCTATGAAAAGAAAGTGTTAGTAAGAAAACTTAAAAAAATAAAATATTAAAATGTAGGTTATTAAACAATATTTAGCATACTTAAAATAATTCTTAAAATAATAATAAAAAATAAAAAAATAATAATAATAATAAAAAATAAATAAAATAAAATAAATAAATAAATAAAAGGAGTTAAAAAAAAAAAAAAATAATAAAAAAAATAAAAAAAAAAATAAAATAATAACAGATAAAGTATAGAAAAAGAAAATGGCCGGTAATAAGAGAAGTTGCAAGAAAAGTTAATAAAAAGAATAAGAAATAATAAAAAGAAAAGAGTAATGGAAGAGCCAAAAATAGAGTATAAGAATAGAATTGAGAAATCACTAACACAACATTAGCAGCAAAAGCGTATGCCAATGCTTATGCCTAGGCATTGTGAGTGATTTCCCTAAGATAAGCTGATAGTACACTTTTTATTTTAGGAGGAGAGAGCTCTAAGGAAAAAACGTGATAATATTTATTAAAATTAACACAAAGAACATGAAACGCACTGTGCAAAGAATAATCCCTAGTGCACACAGGTAAATGAAGCGGACAATAGTGTCTAGTTGATCGGGACGGAACCAAAAAATTTAGACGACCCAACAAAGAGGACGAATCAATATCACCACTAATCAATTTATGCAGAAAAACAATTCCTAAAATTGTTCTGCGATTGGTTAGCGATGGAAGATCAATTAGCTGGAGCCTACTATGATAAGACGGTAATCGTAAATTACTGTCCCATCTAAGGTCTCTTAAGGCAAAGAGAAGAAACTGTTTTTGGACCGATTCGATACGATCCTGATACAGTTTATGTTGCGGAGACCATACGACAGAACAATACTCTAGGATAGCACGCACAAGCGAAGTAAATAAGCGCTTGGTAATAAAAGGATCTTTAAATTCCTTAGACCAACGTTTAATAAAGTATATATACGTATATACCCCAATATGTACTGAGGCCATTCAGCAAGAGCAAAGGCTGCAGTAATAGTTGTTCGAATCTATTCAATGTATTTTCAATTCAGAATCGCAAAATCTTTTTCTTGAAAGTAAAGAGATTAAAAGTACAATTGAAATGAGTGTGAGATGTGGAAGAGGACGTCGTCAACTACATATATAGTATATATACTCGATGCAGACTTAACACTCTACAATATATTCAATATATACGTAAATCTATCCAACTTTCTGCTAGTCCATTCGTCTGACTGTCTGTCCGCCCGTACATCTATCTATCCGTCTGTAAGGTGGTCTGACTAACTGTCCGTGCGTCTGTCCCATGCTGTCCGGAGGTCTGCCCATCTTTCCATATAATATAATTTTTCCAGTGCAGATAGTTCAAGCTACTCTTTAGCTGCATACAGCGTATCTGGAAGTCGTATATGCCCGGTACGTTGTTAAGTCGCTGTTCGCAGCTTGTCAATGAGCTGTTTTGGTTTTTTGCTGTGCGGCATTTTAGCAATTCTCGCTGATTATACGAAAGAATTTACACAGCCAAACATGTGATAAGTTTATATACCATGTACTATATAAGTCGTTCAATATGAGGCTTTATTATGTCATAAATGTTAAATCTACCTTAGTGATTCATAGCTCGATTCGTGTTCATTGATCGATGCGCTGGTTCTCGATGTTGCCCAGGCGCAGAGGCAACTCTGGCAGGGGCTCCACCAGTATGGGATCTTCAGCAGCGTTGCCGCCATCATCATTGCCATCATCACCATCATCATTGTTGTCATCATCATCATCGACTGCAGTAGTTGGTGCTGGCGTTGTTGTCGATGTTGTTGTTGTGCTGCGCCTGCGCAACTTGCGGCCTTTGCGTCCTGGCTTCCTGCCCACTCGGCCCAATCGCTCCTTCTTGAGCCTGCGCATCTGCTTGGCTATATCCAGGCTGGACAGCTGACCGTAAACTGTTGGATATGGTGCGATTGGGAAGGGCTCCAGAGTTGTTGCTGCTGCTGTTGTTGTCGTCATCGTTGTTGTTGTAGCTGCAGCTGTTGTAGTTGTTGTTGTTGTTGTGGGCAACTCTGTTGTTGTTGTTGTTGAGGTATTGGCAGCAACTGTTGTTGGCGCTGTGCTAGATGTTGTCGCTGCTGTTGTTGTTGTTGTCTCAGCAGCAAGTGTTGTTGTTGTTGTTGTCGATATGGCCTCTGTTGTTGTCGATGTTGCTGTCGTGCTTGAGGTGTCCGTTGCTGGTGTGGTGCTGGATGTTGCTGCTTCTGTTGTTGTTGTTGTTGTTGTCTCAGCAGCAAGTGTTGTTGTCGTTGTTGCCTCTGTGGATGTCGATGTTGCTGTCGTGCTTGAGGTGTCTGTTGCTGGTGTGGTGCTGGATGTTGTTGCTTCTGTTGTTGTTGTCTCAGCAGCAAGTGTTGTTGTTGTTGTTGAGGTATCTGTTGCTGTTGTTGTTGATGTTGTTGTGGTGTCTGTTGCTGCTATAGTTGAGCTGCTTGAATCAGGTGTTGCTGTCGTGCTGCTTGTTGAGTCAGTTGCTGCTGTTGTAGTCGTATCAGTTGCTGCTGTTGTCGTGTCCGTTGCTGTTGCTGTTGTAGTTGAGCTTGTTGCTGGTGTTGTTGTTGATGTTGATTCCGATGTTGCTCCGTCAGGTGTGGTTGTTATTGTTGCTGCTGTTGTCGTTGCCGTCGTGTCCGTCGTTGCTGTTGTGCTATCAGTCGGCCCGTCGCCCGTCGCAGCTGCAATAATCTCACTTATATTGATTGTTATCGTTTCATTGAGCCGCGTCTCGTTCAGCGTCTGCAACGTGTTGTTCGAGCTGACAATTGTTGCCACGAACGTCGAGTTCTGAGCCGCACACAGCTGACAGCAGCTGGCTGAAAATGCAAATGCCAAATGCAAAAGTGGTAGTTAGTTTTTCCCTTTCCCTTTCTTTCGGCCAAATCAATTAGCAGCTCGGCTCGACTGGCTGCAGCCACAGAGGAAGCCACAGCCATCCGCATGGCGCACTAATTACCTAATATTGTTGTCACAACGAGAGCAATTAAATGCCGACGTGATATCGCAATTGGCAGCAACATTGTGTAGTTTGATGTTGGAGCTGGGGCTGGTGTTGCTGCTGCCGCTGGCATTCTATGTTGTCGGTCCTTAATTAGCCTCGGAGAGCTTTGATGTTGTCGCTGCTGCTCTATAAATTTGGCTAATTGAACTGATTTGCCAAGTGCCCATCAGATGCATTTTTATATTGATGGCCACGCACACGTCGCACGGAAACGTGTGGCCGCTACGTGAGCTTCTTTATTCACTTATCATGTCTACCAGATAATAATCACACACACACACACACACACGTACGCATCAGCAGCATCAGCAGCAGCAGCAGCAGCAGCAGCAACAATTGCTGTCGTCTTTTGCCGATGATTTCTTTGATTCCGGAAACAACACGACAGCAACCACGTGTTGAGCCAGCACCCAGAGCTGACCGCCGGAAGTCAAGCAGACCAATTGCATTCAATTTGCTTTCAGCTCTGCATCTGCTTCTTCTTCAGCTTTGAGTACTCGCCCACAGTGTAAAAAGTGAGCATATTAGACTGACTGCCAATTAACCAGACCTTTCTTAGTATGAAGATTGAGCAACATAGGGATAGAGATGTATATTCATATAGAGCAAGTTATCTTATATTTCTATTCACTCTCCTTTATGTTTCTCTCTACTTCTTTTTGTATACCCCATGCCATCGACTACAACTGTGATCAGTCTCTGGTATTGTAATTTGATTATGGGCGAGCATGGTACAGTCATTTGACCCGTTTCGTTTCTGTTGACTGGGTCAGTTGTGGGCTCAGCTGTTGGCCAACGAGCACGTAAACTTGGCCAACAGCTGGCAGCTGGCCTTTAGCATCTGGCTGCAATCATTTGAAAATACACACACCTGCATTAGCTAGTGCTAGATACAGCTCAGCTGAATCTCCACTGTACTATCATAATCTTTCGCTGAAGCAGCTTCCAGCTTCCTTTAATCGCAAGCGCAGAGAACTCTTTAAGTTTGCTCGCTTTCCAGTCGAGCGCAAATTGCGCTTCTCATGCATTACAATGATTTTTTGCTGACGCTTCTCGTATGATGGTTAAATAGACAAATATGTGATAAGCAGCGCTGCAGTCTGCGACCTTCGAATACCCTGTTAAGTAGAATTCCATTGCAAGAGGATTAGTTTTCAAGTATGCTCAGAATAATTTCAAAATGTTTTCATTTTGTGCTACAAAATTATATTAAATATAAAAAAAGTTGTATAAAATATTTTTAGAAAATATTTTTAAAAATAAAGAAATATTGGCTTAACTTCTGAGATTGTTAAAATGAATAGACTATTGATAATTGTCTCTATATACATATATATCCAATACTCTCAAAAATAAATAAAGCTAAATATATTTATATGACTCAGTAAATCGAAATCGTAAAAAACTTACAGTTAATAGTCAAGCTTAGCTTTAGTCAAGCTACCCCCTCATAGCAGCGGCGTTACAGGGCATTTAATGAATAGTCATGAATACAATTTACACGACATTTTTATTTCAGCTTGTTGACAGTTGAAATTTTAATTATTTGCAATAAACGTGACCGAAAGCCAAATGAGAGCGCCATAAATATAAATATCCATGTAATTAAAAGTAAAAACTTAAATAAGTTACAGACCAGCATACAGGGTGCTGCTGCAGATGTTACAAAAGACTGTATAATACTCTTTCATGGCACAATTGAGAGGCGTGGATCAGCGATTATATTAGTTGTAGATATAGTTAGTCGACCAGTTGTAGACGAGCCAACTAGGGCCCCGGGAATGTCGTGAATATCGGGTGTATGATATACGACTGTTTCCCAAGCCAAGTCTCTAGCTTCAATGAAATGCTTTGGATGCATACACAGAGATAAACAAGCATACGAAAGCCAATAGACTCTCTTTCGCTGCACTGGCGAGTGCTCTGCCCATGCTCCATGTCTCGATAAACATACATATGTCGGCACATCAGTGCATATCGAAAACACGAGTCAATCAGAGCTCGATTGCGATAGGCGTGGACAAGCGCCGATAGCCGAAGAGCCGCTCCACCCGTTAATTGCGAGCTATCAGCACGCTTGAGTACGTGCCAAAAGTCAAGCTGAGGCACCGATCGAAACATTTCCAAGTCTCTGTCTATTTTCAGTCTGGTATAAAAGACGTCGAGTGCGAGCACTGAGGCAAGCAGTACAAACTTACAGCTCAAGCGCAAACATGTTCAACAAGACCTTTTTCGTTGCACTCATTCTGTGCGGTAAGTGAACTGAAATGAACTGAACTAGTTCGGCCTAATGAACGCATCTGACCATATCCTTGCACACACATCCAGCTTGCTACTTGAGCGCCACCTGGGCACGCCCGCAGTTCGCCGACTTGCCCCAGCTGCCCGTTCCTGGACTCGACTCCCTACCCATCGGCAATGTGGGCGGCGCTGTTGGCTCGGCACTCGGCGCAGCTACTGGAGGACTCGCAGCTGGCGGTCTGACCAAGTCGCTCTCGTCTAAGCTAGGCCAACCGAAAATTCTGTAAGCCCAGCCAGAGCCCTCAACGACTCCCAACACCAATGCCGACGTCAATGCCAAAACTAAGTGTACTCAAATGTCAATAATTATTTGTGTTCTTAAATATTAAATCAAAATTTGCATATCCTAATGAAAATTGTGTAACAGTTATTTCTATATATTGTTGAATTTTTATCCTATTCCTTTTCTCTTTCCTCATTCATTGTCCGTTTTCATCAAGACTTTCCTTCTGTTATTCTCCTATGTATTTTCTTCACTTTCTCATCATTCATTTCTCAGTTTTCATCAAGATTTCCTTTTTCTTCTCTTCTCATTCTTTCTATTCTCCTGTCTACTCGTCTGCTCCCATCAATTTCTATCTACGTTACCTAATGAATTACGTAGGCATATTGAATATAGATAACTCTTATTGGATTTCCGTATAAAAATCGTGGAATTTCTGGAATATACATTTTAAAAGCTGTCTTATAAGGGTCTCCATTCAACATTTTCGAATAAATATATATGCATATTCATGATTTTCTAAATCTAGTTAAAGACTATAAAAGTTAGATATACTGAATATAATACGTCTATTAAATCTTACCGTAAAAATTCAATGATTTTGGGAGTCGTTAGCATATATATTTCTGTAGCTCTATGAAAGCAAAATGGTAGATTCTTTAACTTTTACAATCTGAATATTTCAGAGTTCCAGAGAGAGCAAAAGTTTGTTGAATAGCAACTGTAGACACAGCAAGTATACAAAAAGCCTAAACGTAAGACCTTTCCACAAGACTCGTATTACAAGATCAAAAAACTGATTAAATCAATTTGCGATAAACGTAGAGTACGAAATATAAATGAACAAAGCAAAGCAATAGGAAAAGTTATAGAAATTGTATATGGAAGCATTAGCTGTATCCTCTACCTCAACTTCCGTTTCAGCAAACACAAAACAAAGTGTGATTCAATTTCAAAACATTTTATCACTTTTCGATTTTAGTGTCTGACGTTTCACGGCATTCAAACTCAGCTGAGCCTTAGCTGGCATTGTGGAACACTGGACGAGCTAATCGCGCCTCTACGTGAGCTGCCCGAGTCTCAGTCAGCACGTAGCTAACGAGCGTGCGGAACTATTTAGTGCTAGGCCCAATTGCCAAATGTTTTAGTTATGCTTCAACCCAACAAGAATGTTCAACAAATTGATATATTTGCTGTTGGTGTGCAGCTGTAAGTGTTGAATAACGTCAGCAACATACATATACACATACATGTTCTAATTGAGTGACTTTTCCTCCAGTGCTGACGGCCTGCAGCATGGCCCAGACCTTAGAAGACACATCCACACTAGCACCAGGAGCAGGAGGAAACTCAACGCGTCGTGATCTGGTCAGAAATTTCATGAACAACGTCCAGAGGCTCATAGCTGATTTGATAAAGAGCTTGCAGCAGCTGACTGCAGCGCAGGATGGCAGCATCAGCATCAGCTAGACCTTTGGCAAAAATATCTAAAACCCTATCAAGTATCTGCTGAGGAAATAATAAAACAGAATCAATTGAACTGAATTGCATTCATGTGAATGCAGTCATTTGAGATCGATTTTATTTCCAGTTCATTTGGGGCTTTAAGCATGCTACAGCTTGCACTCAGCGCTCTGATTGATGCTAGCATGTCAAGGGTCAAAGGTCAAGACGTTTTTAAGCACCAACAACAACAAGCGACAAACCTTTCACAGTCATTTATCAAATGACATTTGCCAACTGTGAGAGTCTACAAGTGGATACACATGTTAACAGGCAGCATTGTGGGGAGAGAGAGGGAGAGAGAGAGAGAGGGAGAGAGAAAGGGCTGAGAATAGGGGCTGCTAAGGTGTGGAAGGTCGGAGCGTCAAGCAAAATGAAAACGCCAAAAATTATACCTAGAGGCAAGCACTAAAGCAAACACCAACTCGAAACGAATTGAGCAGAGCTAAGCGAGCTTTGAATACTCTGGAAATTACTAGATGCACAACTTGTATAACAGAGAATAGCAAAGAAAACCTATATAGAGGATGATCAAGCAAAATTGATAACATTTCCGATAACTACATGAATAGCGACAGCGATTTAAGCTATCGACCGATATGGAAGTGTGTGAAAAACCCTTGAACTGATTTTGAGGTCTTATGAAGCGAGGTCAATCATCTAGGTAGGCTTAAGGCCAACACGAAGGAGGACTCATTCATTGGTAATATTAATTCTAATAGATGTTTTGATTTCCTTTCGTTCTTAAACTATTTTCATTCAACACAACAATAGTATACTATAGAATTTCCAGAACAAGTAAACCTTTCATATTCCATATGCAACTCAGAGTAGAGAAATCCCTCGTAGAAGTTAGGGTATATAAATGTTCCCAGAAAATCTTAACAAAATTTCTCACGTTTGCCATAATTACGAGCAAAATACGTGACATGTGTTTTGACTGCGAATTTAAGCAGCAGTAGCAGCAGCAGCTTGTCAAGCTACCCCATTCGCCCTGCCAACCCCTAGCTGAGGCCCTGCCGCCTACTCTCCCTACATTCAGCCTTTGCCTTTGCGCCGTTTGTTACTTCCGACATTGGGAAGTTGGGAAGGGGTCAAGTATCGCTCCGGTTGTAAATGGTAATACGTACTCGTATACATAACCAATAAAAATCTGTTTAGGCCAGGAAAAGGCGACAGCGAGTGGGCGGGGCGGGGCTGGGCTGGGCTGGGCTGGACTGGGGCTTGTCGTAACAATTGTGCGAGTAATTCATAAAAATCTCTTGAGCAAATGTTAGCGACATGAATGATGCTCGGGCATTGAGGACGCCACGCAGCCAGTTCGGATTTCATGGGCCATTCTTTGCGTTTCTTGCTTTCCTTTATAGCCTCACGCCCGCCACATTTCGGTTTCTTCATAATTTATAATGCCTTAAAGCCGAACCGCAAAGCAGCTCCAGAAGCAGCAGATGAAGCAGTCGAACTCCCAGAGCGTTGCGTGATTGAATTGTTGCCTGATTGACAGTTGACAGTCGAAATTGATTTTGGTGGTGCGCTGCCAGCCAGCTTGATAATGATGACGGTGGTTGCTGTTGCCACAATGCAAAGGCGGCTCGGTGCGGACTCAGATACTGGTCTGGGGCTGGGCTTATTAATCCCCCGAGTGCAGGCGTGCATAAGTATCGGGCAAATGGATTAGACAGTTTTATGTGAAGTCTATCGCAACAGCCACAATAAAAAGGGAAAACAAAAGGATTTCAATGGAGCTCTTACCCAAGCCCAAACTATTTAATTAAGCTTGATCTTTACCTAGCAACAGTTACGGCTAAGTCCTAACATATGGCGTACATCCCAACCCCAACCAACTCGGCAGCTCTCTCTCTCTCTCTCTCTCTCTACCTCCCTCTCTTCTGTCTGCAGTGATTGTCATATTTGTGTGACAGTTAATGAACGACTGTCGGCTCTTTGTTGTCGCTAATCAAAGGATAAAAACCGAACGTGAAATGTGCAACGCATAGCCAATGTCCGCTTAGCAGCAGCAGCTGGACACACAGACACGAGTGGGAAGGATTGCAGTCATCTAATTGATAGATGATTCACATCATTTAAGCAGCTTTAATTGAATCATCAGCGACAGTTAGCTGCAGGGGAAGCCACGGCCATGACATCTAGTTAGAGTGGTTGACTGTGTAGCTACCCTATAGGGTATTGTACTTATTAGCATATCTATAACTAGTGTGTAGCTACCCTATAGGGTATTGTACTTATTAGCATATCTATAACTAGTGTGTAGCTACCCTATAGGGTATTGTACTTATTAGCATATATATAACTAGTGTGTAGCTACCCTATAGGGTATTGTACTTATTAGCATATCTAAAATTATCAATAATCTATAATCGACTAACGGTATTATGTATCGATAAATGGCGAATCTAGTGTACTGGGAACATCTTAAACGATTCCACATCATCCAATGCTTATATAACCCTATCACTCTCTGCATATGTATAAGAATAACGATTGATTGCTCACTGATCAATGTCCATTGTGAAATGTTTGTACTTACACGATATTTGTCGATGTACTTCTGTTAATAGTAATCGACTATGGCGATACCTTTGCATATATCTAATGTACTAAAAGTTATGGACTATCACTAAGTCAATCAATCTCTCCGCTTATTTAATGAGTCTACACGCAAACATGCAGACAAATAGAGGTGGATGAAGAAATGTATATAAATATATCGATTTTGATCGATACATTATATATATTATTAGGTATCTATCTATAATCACAATATCAACGTCGATTTCGCCATTATCCCTAATATTCCAACAATAAAGCTTCGTTCGCTTAAAGTTGACGATAAACCTTCATTCGTAAGCACAAATTGTAAGCGACAGTTGAATGAGAAACATTCATTTACCTGACTATGGGCTATCCCTGCTAAGCGGTTCAACTTGTAATGCTATTACTCAGAGTTGATTGTAGCAGATGAAAATATTAGAGCAGGGCACGCAGATCAATCGGGCTGCCGAAATGAAAAGGAGAAAGGTTAACTTGCTTCCACAAATTTTTGCCAGGACAATGAACGTGGAGTAAAGGGAGATGAGGAACAAGGAAGAGGCAGCTGGAGCTGGATATGCCGGCAGCAGCAAGCGGCGAGCGCCATAAAGAGTTCGATATGAAAGTATTGATTTGCTTTGACAAATCTGAGGGACTTGTAATTTCATTACGAAAACCATAGCACAAGATAACCACAATAGAGAGTGAGAGTAAGACAGAGAGAGAGAGAGAGAGAGGCTAGGAGACAGAGGAAAATGAAAATGCTGAATTCCCCAATGTGAAAGTAATAGACCAACAACAGCAATCCGTAGCCCCCAAAAACAGGCAACTGAAGTAGCTGTCTGGCACTCGAGCGGGCGGCTTTTAAGTTGCTTTGTGTGTGTGTGTGTGTGTGTGTGTGTGTGTCGGTGGGTGTGTCTGTGTGTGTATGGAAAATTAAATTCAATTGTGTGACAAGTTAATCCTATTTCTCATCTTCCAACTTTTATTTAAGCTTCATTCTTTATGCATTACATGCGACGGAAAGCATGGCACGAGACTCCTGACAAACTTCGAGTCATGCAGTCAATCAATCAATCACTCAGTCAGACAGTCAGCCAGTCTGTCAGTTAGTCAGTTAGTCAGTTAGATGCTGTCAGAATTTTGTTTGATATGTTGCAAGATTGCTCCAGCCTCTAGAAAAAGTGAAAGCGAACCGAACCCAACCGAAGGGTTGCCCACACGCACACACACACACACACAGACACAGAAAGAGACTCGAGCTGTGTGTGCGTGGGGGTTCAGTCAGTGAATGTGCTGGGGCAACACTTCATTAAACTCATAAAGCAATAAAATGTGCTCTTGATGAACAAAACAAAGGCTGGAGCAGGAACGGGGACGGGCACGGGCATAAGCAGAGGCACAGGCTCAGTGGAACACCTCCTTCTTTCTCTACCAACCACTTTACCCACTCAACCAGCGATGCGCCTTCGATTGTCTGACAGCTCGACATTGTCTGCTAATGGCAACTGCAGAGCTGTCGACTCGAGCTCACTCGCTCACTCACTCACTCACTCTCCCACTCTCTCACTCTTTCACTCTCGCACTCTCGCTCTGCCTCTCAGTCAGTGTGCTCTGTCATCCATCACGCGTATTCGAGAGAAACCTTAAAGCTGCATTCCATATGGGCGCAATGCTACATCTCTATCTATCGCGCTCTACCCATTCTCCCCTCTCGCTCTGGCCAGGTTGCCTTTGTAGGTATTCGCAGCGTGGCAATCGATAATAATTACATTAGTTTTCTTTGTGTCGACACTTTTATTTCCATTTCCAATTATCGGAAATGCGTCAAGGAAGCCAACTTCTAGATTTCGTATGCTATAAAAGGCTATTCATTTTTTTCTTCCTGTCTTAAGACGAGCTAATGGGTTCTTCGTCGTGATCTTTGAAAGACTGATGGCTATATATAAGCACAGACATACATATTATATATATGTCAGGCTGTTCCTTTCATCTTTGAAATCTGAAATTGTAATCCCGAACTGTATCTGCATGGAATAGAATTGGTGGATTAGTTTTTGTTCTTGTTTTTTGTTTTAATCGTTTTTCCGAGCTTACTTCCCCTTTTTTCCGACCGTTGCGCTCTTACAGAAGCTGCAGGACTTCAGATACAAATCGTACAATTTCCTTGAATGTTTTCGCTCCACTTTGTATTGAAACCCATTCAAGAATCTTCAAGGATCTTCAAGTTGTGAGACTTTGTGCGAGTTGATTAAAGTCCTGATATCGTAAAACCGGAAGACATTATTCCAAATAAGGCTGAGAGTACGACATGCAAAAAAGTAGGAGATATTAACGTTTCTATTTTCAGATTTATCTTCTGTCTATGTATGGGAAGGGGAAACGTTTTTAAATCATACAGTCAAAAGCTTTAGCTGAGCCTACAAACCTTGTATATCAATTGACTAGGAAGGGTGCTTGACCCTGAATGTGCATTCGACCTATGGAAGAATAGTGCTTGCTGGAATTTGAGCCTGTTGAGACGAGCTCTGCGTTTGCTGTAATCAGTTCAATGCATAATTATATAGGGTAGATGCCTATAATTAGGGCGGGAGGGCGGTGCTTACCTTCAGCTTTCATTTAGTTTCAATTAATTTGTTGTACAGAAGGAACAACCAAAGTTTTTTAACCGTGGGAAACTGATTACAAAATGATTTTCTGCTTTAGCTAAATACATATAATTTGACGAATCTACTAGTGCTCTTAGTCCGATTTGATGCTAGTGTATGCAACATATATATGCTCCGTGCTGTATAAATGAATCTGAGTTGCGTTTGATTTCATCTCGGACTGAAATGTTGCCAACAATTTTCGATTTTGCGCACTCCAATTATCTCTTCTTATAAATATATATATAGCCCCAGTTCCTTGTTATAGTCTAATCTCCCAGCGCTTGAAGTAGATGTGAGTCCCAACCCAGGCCTGGCAATCGACAATTGTAATCGTGGTCATCGCGGCAAGCTGCAATTGAATAGACCTTGAATCTGGTATTAGTCTCGTCTGTTTGGGCTTTTCTCCTGCCTCCATGCTCTATGTGTGATGTCACTCCTCTTCCGTCTTCACTCTCATCATCTTCATCATCATCATCATTGTCATGGACTAGACCAAATTTGGTGTCCCTGAGTTGGTCGGTTGGGGGAGTGGAGTTGTGGGGAGTTGGGGGTTATAAATGCGATGCGTATAATAGAGTAGCCGAGATGTATCTTTATTACAGTAATTGCTCATTGAACAGGAAATTATTATATGCGTGCGTGTACCGTCTGTCCGCCTCCTGCTCCTCCTCCGATGCTCTCTCAACTCCCTGCTAGACTGCTCAGTCGGCTTTCGCTTTTAGCATTTGCTTCGGTGCGCCCATTGCCCGAAATAGACAATAACGAAAACAAATAAAAGGGCAAGAAGCGGGAAGGTTGAGGAAATCTGTGTGCCGCTCTATTTCTAGTGTAATAATAGAATGTGAGCTTTCGGCTAGGGCTAGTGTCACGAGTAGATGGTCAGAAGAGCATACATCGTCCACCTATTCTAGCTTTACGGATTTCGCTCTCGTGTTTCATCATTTTTGGGTTTATGCCACTTACATCTGCAAAATGCGCGTCACACAAATCGAGAGCGGCGGATTCGCCTCACAAACTGTAGTCCCGGTCCCGCTCCGGCATCTGTCTCAACTGATGGAGCGAATGGGATGGGGCGAAAAACAAGGAAATGCGGGTATTGGTTTCATGCCTGTCGAGAATTAGTCCGCCTCGGGCAGCCTATGGACGACCGGCAGCATTTGCGCCTGCAACCGTCGACGCAGACGTATATCATCGCCGCCGCCATCCTGATCGATCGCCCGGGGCGGCAGGCGCCAGCTCCACACGTGGATCCCATCGCCCTCGCCCATGTCGAAATGGACGCGCTGGCGCTGCAAAATGATCCGAAGGTTCTGCACGAACCGAGCCACATCCATGGGGTTCTCGTGCTGTAAGCGCGCCGCTACCAACGGCGGTATGAAACGATCGTAATCGTGATGCTGCTCCTCGTTGGGTCCCCAATGCAGCGCCGGCTGGAGTCGGTGCTGGCGCATGTACAACAACCTGGGCCGAGGAGGATTCATTGCTTCTGCTCTTTGGCTTTCTTTCTTCTCTCTGGATGCGTGTGTGTGTGCTTGTATATGCTTGTGCATGTATTTCTCTGTTCCTCTTTGTTTCCCTTGTTTTTTTCGTTGTATTCTCTTGTTTTTTCATTCGTTCCGTTTGTTTTGATTGCTTGCGTGTGTGTGTGTGTTTGATTTAGGTTTCAGAGCTTTTTTGGCTATTGACTTGAGGTTTGATAATTGTTTAGCTTCGGTTTTTGTATCTATACCGGAATTTGGGAGAGGGAAAGACAAAAGTAAAAACTTTAAAATAATCTGAAAGCCGGATTTATTAGTTCTATACCCTAAAAAGAATTTGGCCGATATGCCAATCAGGGGCTCTGAGTGAAAGCTCTAACGTCTACTTGGTTCACACATGACATTCTCAGTTTCTAATCTCTTCCCGTTTGTCAAATTCAACAGTGTTAGAGTGAATCTACCAGCAACTCCTTGCTCAAGGAAGAGGAAAAGTATCGCTAGAGAACTAGCGAGTAATCACTCGTTGCAAAACTAACGAGCAGCTGTTAGACAAAACAATATCAAGTATGATGCAGAAACATGAGTTGAGCTAACTTGGAGTCGAAAAGTAATGAGTAATTGATCGGGTCGTTCGGCTAGCTCGTTGTAAAAGTAACGAGTGATTATTGAATAAATTCGCTCATTAAGAGAAACCCAGACAACTCGTAGCTTTAAATTGAACAAATTCATTGGAATTATGTTAGCCAAACTGAAGTTTATCTCAGTGAACTGAGATGCACACTTAACATCCCTGCTAGATGCCGACCATGCGAGTATTTACTGTAGCTGTAGCTACCTTTTCGTGTTGGCCTGTCAGGCGTTTGTCCTTAATCAAAATGCACACACTTGATGCATATTTAATTAAACTTTCACCTTTCTGAGGGGACGTTTCAAAGAAATTTTGCCAAAAAACCGGGTCGAGAGCGCTTCCTATATAAGCACGAAAGCTGGCGCAGTGGGCGTGTTTTCGAGAGAGCTAAAGATAGAGAGAGAGAGAGAGACTCTGAATGGCTTCTAGCCAGGGTTCATTTTCCATTTTGGAAAACAGAAATGACTTAAAAGCGACACGACGGCACTTTAATTAAATCAGTTTTAATTAATGCAAAATGCGAATTTCAAAAGATGTTGCCTAGACATCTAGCAGCAACATGAAAAACAGATGAACAACTCTGTAACAGAGTGGCAGAGGATGCAAGGCTGGAGAGGCTTCTCGGGCTTTGTGGGCGACTCTGATGCTTTGGCGCTCTGTCGCTGTGGCGGGGGCGGGGGCGGGGGCAGGCAGCAACCACATTTTGTTGTCGGCATAATTACAACTCAATTGTAATCCAATTTTTGGGCAGGCATATAAATCGGATTTCATTGTGACAAGCCACGCCCTGTCGCACACCGCCTCTGCCTCACCCTCCCTCGCCCAGTGTGCGCCTGACAGTGGTGTCTGTGTCAACTTTTTTCGGTGTCAAATAAATAAACTTTTGACAGTCGGCAGACAGACGGTCGGGAGGAGCTCCGATCTGAACCTGTGCCGGAATTGCAAATTAGTTTGTCACAAGCAACAGAGCCATTAGGGCTGGGGCCTTGGCTACTCCTCCCTGCCTCCTGCTGTCTGCTGCTTGCTGCCTGCTGCCTGCTGGCTGCTGCCTGATGGCTGTGTACGATTGAATGCTTTAAGAGGCGAGTCCGAATGCTGCAAATGCTTTGTGTCTTTTGGCTGCAAACGTTGCAAATTAGTTGCACATGTTTCGTCCGCAGCCGAAAAACAAGACGTGTTTCCACTAATTTGGCCAAAATCAACAGCTGCGCATACATGCGACAGTGTGTGTGTGTGTATATGAGTGTGTGTGTGTGTATATGTGGAGAAAACTCATCATAACTTTCTTATCAAAAACTTATTTTAGGCAACGAGTGCCGCAAAGATATTCCCTAACAAAAAAAAAGCAAGAAAGAAGCAAAAGAAAAGGATAACTCAGCTAGCTTGGGAGCACGTGCGGTACAACCTGACTATGAAATACCCTGTAGTGGCAGGCAGTGAAGCTCTTTGATATTGCTCAAAGTTAACTTTATATATAGAATATATATTTGCAGCATTCTAATGAAGTTGTGTGGCATATTGGGAATTCCGTCTGTTGAGAAATTCCAGGGTATACTCTGTGCTTCAAATTTAGTGTCATCATGAGCTAAGATAAGAGAGATAAGACATATATGTATCTGATATATGAGATGCTAAAATGTATACAAATCTGTAGTCTATCACGTAGCCTGCTTTTACAGGGTATCTGAGCATCGAAATATATGTATGTTGAGGAATTCCAGGGTATACTCTGTGCTTCAAATTTAGTGTCATCATGAGCTAAAAATAAGGCATATAACTGGTATATAAGATGCTAAAATGTATACAACTCTGTAGGCTATCACATAGCCCTACAGTGCTGCTTTTACAGGGTATCTGAGCATCGAAATATATACACACACACATGTGATAGCAAATGCGTTGCAAACTTGCTATAATTACACTGTCTTGACAGCTGTGTGCTGTGTGTGTGTGTGTGTGTTGTGTGTCCTTATACTCATCCTTAACTAAGTTAGCCGTGCCGTACGGCCCGTACGGCCCGTACAGCCCCTGCTCCTGTCGTCGTCGTGACTGACTAACTGGGCTAACATGCATGAACAGTAACATATGTTGGACTTTGGCAGAAAGTTTTGCCAGTTTTTGGCGCGCTTTGGCCACGCTGCCATTTTTAGCAACTCGCATCCATAGCCAAGTTCTGCTTAGCCCCACTACCCCCCGCCCAGCCACGGCTGTCCCTCAGTCAGGGCGGAACGTGTGCGTTCTGTGGTTGAGTTGACGCACACTTTAGGCGCAGCATGCAACAGCTGTGGCCCAAACGCAATCTGCCTACCCCCAACCCCCATGCTGAGTGCCCTGAGTGCCCTGACTCTCCTGCTGAGTCGCCCCATCCCAACTAGCCGCTTCTAGTCGTTGCGACTAACAAACTTTTGCCCAGCACAAATTAAAGTCAACAAACTAGAATATCAGCTTGCCAAATGGGCATCATCATTTCAATAAAAATAGACAATTTTCTGTACATCCAATGAATGGGTATTATTGCAACCGAAACAGAGGGCGGGATATGTGTATTTAACAGCGCTGTTGTTGTAGTCAATCTAGATTATTATTTCGATGTGTAGAGATATGTAAAATCGTATATATTCACAGTCGAAGGATTTCTAACGATAGACTGAGTCTTCAATTAGGAGATTTGAGCTCTAATGGTATCCAAATTGAGATATCGATTATTATCGATCATAAGGAATAATGCTTCAAAGGTTCTTCTTCTTCTTACTGTGGTATTCAAGAATAGATATTTTAAAATAAAGCTCTATTTAATTTGCAGTTGATTATATGAAAACGTGGCGTAGGCGAAAAAGGTGGATGGACAGAAGGAAGAACAAATAAACGAATTGAAGAACACAAAGACTGACGGATAGACCCATAGACTATCGGTTATTGCTGGATCAACTGAGATCATTGGCTTTATCATATACTAATAATGAGAGAAATATAATAACCTATAACTAAATATCAGCAAATTTCACCTCCAAGCAGTGGATAAGGATTATAGAAAGCCTAATCCAAATTTGATACGAGCGCTCCTTCACTAGATATATCTTACATGGAACTTTTCTTCCATACTATCATAGCCAAAGATAGTTCCAAATATCCATTTTAAATGAGAACAAAAAACTAATATCATTATTAGACATGCTAATGGATATTTGTGTGGAGGCATCAACAGGCATCGAGCTGAAACTTAAGTAATCAGGAACTGAGCCAAATGATGCCAGGGAAAACAAAGAAATGAACCCGAAAAAGCACTTCGATGGCTCACACAACACAGCAAAAGAACCAACAAAAAAGTTAAAAATTATTGTGTGTCTGTGTGTGTTGGCTTAATATCGAAATAAAAAGCACGTCAATATTAGACAATGGCAAAAAAAAAGACGCGGTTAACAAAGCCAACGCGAGGGTGCCCAATAAAATGAAGAAGAAAAAAAAAACAACAAAATTTTGACATAGGAAAAACGAGTCCCAAAGTTAAATAAAAAGAGCGGAACCAACTTTGCCAAGTTTCGAGAAAGGGGTGTCAAAGAGTGGGAGGCGGCTGGGGATGGGGCGGGACTACCAAAAATATATGCCTAAAAATGGGCTAGGCCAAAAATAAATATGGCAACAAAATGGCAGCCAAGGCTTGACAGCGAAACGTAATGGTTAAAAGTGGAAAGTAGAAAGGAGCTTGGCAAGAGCTAAAGACGTTGCTGCGTGGGCGTCGAGCGAGGGTTGAGCGGCTGCTGGCCGGCTGGGGGTGTAGGGGTAGAGGGGTCGGCTGAGAGGGTGTCGTAGAGTCGTGAGCTATGTGAATTGCATATGCGGCACACGTATTTGCGCTATAATTATTTCGTACGTGAGCGCTGCGCTCAACTTGGCCCGGAAAGCAGCCGTAGACGCTCGTGGAACAAAGACAATGCCAACAGAAGCGAAAGACACCATCAGGGAAAGAGAGAGATTGAGCGTGTGAGGGAGAGAGAGAGAGAGAGAGAGAGAGATAATGCTAGGGGTAGACAGTAAGCGGCATTTGCGACACCGTAGCAGACTCACATCCTGCTCAGATTGTCTGGGAAGACGTCGCCAAGCTTAAAGCTAGCTTGCAGCTGGCCTTAAGCTATAAATTGACTTTGCTTCAATCAAGCAACTAGAGATGGGTGTGTGAAAACGTGACGTGATTGAACGCACTAAATGATGGCCTGATATGAGAATATTATATGCAGTACTGCTAGGATTTCTTTCGATTCACTGCTGAGCCAACTGACTGACTGAGAGCTGGATTGACTGACTGATTGATGGTTGATTGAATTATTCATGAAGTGACTCGCTGACAATTGATAATCGATCGCATAACTTGCTGTCT